GGCATGTTTCTAATATTCCTTTCTTGTCTAGGGTATTAGAAAATGTTGTGGCATCTCAAACAATGTCTAACCTTGAATCTAATGTGACAGGCGTTCCGTGATATAGYATGCAAATGAGCGATGTCATAGACCAACGCAAGGAGCCTAAGATAAATTCTAAAGTTAAAATTATCGATCCTCTCCATAATTGTTRTATTCTTGATAGTAATTGCTGCAGCTACAGGTGTTTTGCTGATCATGAGAAGAAGACACAAAAAGGTGGAGAGGCGGGAGGACAACAATTCAGTTTGAAGAGAAACTCGACTACTTCMCGTTTGACTGCCGGAAAAGCCCATGAATATTAGCAACCTTTAGATACGACGAAGAGTACGAGATCGAGTACGAGTACGAGTTATTCAGAACTGGACCCGTGCACGTGCTTAACACTAAATCGCAGTCGATTCCCGATTGTTTTTGTTGTTGTTGTTTTTTTTTTTTTAATTTAAAGTTTCAATCTGCGTACAAGATCAAGACTACAAAAAGATAGTGCCTATCTTAAAAAGTTTAAAACCTCATACTTGTACTCGTTGTCGTTTTTCTTCTCGTCGGATCTAAAGGTCTGAMTGCCCTGCTCGTCGTGCTTCTGGGTGATTGRCAGGTTACTGGTAGTGCTGCTAAAACACATCCATTTATTTGTTCAATGTTGTTTAATTTTACAAAGAAATTAAGTGTTCGTCCAAGCAGTCGTTCAGACTTGTCACTTCCTACAACCAGCCATCTACGCTAAAGCAGTCTGTTTTGGATAAGTTTAACCAAATCATTTCTTYYAATTTAGCATCGCAAACGCTAAAAGAAAATATTTTAAGGTTACTGGAGACCTTCAGGGGTATGTTTGTCTTAAACTCTCTCTACGCAACACGTTCAACAAAACGCCCTAATACTATATGTCGTTTTAAAGGTCATATATATAAAGATTTYGAAAATAATATTATTTCAAAGTGATTTTCTAATTTGAAACAATGCCGAGCTTTGAACACAAATCGGGYACGTTCCGTAGAGGTGAATGAATGGAATTAGCGTTAGCGCGTATAGCCAAAAGAACCTCACTATGTTAATAAGCAAAAGATAATCTACAAAAAGGGGTGCGCGATTTTTGATATTTTGTCTTTTATGCGGTAAAACTTTAACCGGCATTANACGTTCCGTAGAGGTGAATGAATGGAATTAGCGTTAGCGCGTATAGCCAAAAGAACCTCACTATGTTAATAAGCAAAAGATAATCTACAAAAAGGGGTGCGCGATTTTTGATATTTTGTCTTTTATGCGGTAAAACTTTAACCGGCATTAAAATTTTTTCGACGTTCCAACTTTAAAATTCAATTGAAGAAATAGAAAATGCGAAATTGCTGTGTGCTGTTATAAAGCACGCGGGGGTTGGCAGAACACGAGAGAAGTGTTAGGTGAAGCACGACGCGTAGCGGAGTGCTTCTGGACACTTCTCGAGTGTTCTGTCGATCCCCAAGTGCTTTATGACTGCACACAGCACGACAAGCAAGTTTTTTTATTTCTTTTGTAAAATACAAATTACAATAGTAGACAGGAATGTCGCAACTGAAAGTGCGCGCGCGTGCAATGTGCTCTCATAAAGCACGCGTCCCAAACCAATCAGAACGCGACATTCATAACAGCTGTTTTATAAAAACATATATAGTTTTATGGGGTTTTATTCAAAKTGTTGCGTATAGAGATTCTTAAACGAAACATACACGTGAAGGTCTCCAGTAACCTTAAAATGTTTTTTAAAGGGCATAACTAATACCATAACCTTTTAATACAATAGAAACCACAAACTTGTAGTACTGATTTTTTTAATAAGCACACACACACACACAAACACACACACATACACACACACACATAAACACACGCACACACACACATACACACACACACACACAAACACACACATACACATACACACCCACAATCTTTAGTTATAACATTTTTTTGTGTGTGTTTTTAAAATTTTTAATCGTTTTATTTAAGGTTAGCCATATGAGTTCTGGATTCTTCTGATTTTTTTTATAATTCCATATGCAAAGTTAGTTTAACTAATAAAGATGAAGTTATTTTTTCTTGCCTGGTGCAGTGTTTGTAAAAAATATATATAAAAGCTGTTTCGGGATTTTCTGCGTTCAAAAGCTAGTAGTGGGGATCA